CGTAGATTAAAAATAACCATGGTACAGCTCAATTTGTCGTGTTAAATAATTCTTTCTACACGAATCAAAAATGTATTCAACGTTTGTTTGTTATAATATCGTGAAATGAATTATATTACACATTTCCTCTATTCACACTGAATTTAAAGATTATAACGATTAAAAATCAAATTGACCGGTGGTGATTTATCAAGAATAATCATAATAAAGCTGAAATTATTGTATTAAATAATTTTTTTAATACGAATTAGGACTTTATTCAACGTTTGCTTGTTACAATATCATGAAATAAATTATATTATAGACACGTTATGCTGCGTCCGTTTGTTTTTTCTGTGCAGTTCAACCTGATTTACTTAAATTTACGTTGCGAGACAGTATAATATTTACAATTCTGCCTGAATTTTTGAAATTCAGAAAAACATAGGTAAACTTCCATTGCATTTAAACGATATTCTCCACCAAACTGGACAAAGTATGTACCTCGTCTGTGATTGAATATTTAAATGCTTATGAGGTCCTGGTGAGGAATACTAAAGTTCCTTAGTGCGATTCAGTAAGGACAAATTACTATGCTATCATAAATACTTTGTATAAAAATAAATACTGTTTGTACATTTAGGAGCTAATACTTAATACTACACTAAGCTAAACTAACTAAAGTATATGTACAATTAAAATAACAGCGACTACGAGTAAAATGATGTGAAAACGAAAACTGGTCTTAACGGCACTAGAAGGAAGGACACTTTTCCTTGTGATGCTGGAAAAGCCTCCTACACGGAAGCAGAGATCACTAGGTTTCTGATTTTCTGGCGGATGACAATTTATTGAAATCAAACTTTTCGGTGGGACGGTTGAGCGGAAGTAGAGGTCACCACATACTTTTCACTATAACTGCCATCTAGTGGCGAATGTGAAAATTCGCGAAATCACTTTTCTGTTAATGCATTGCTTTTGATGAGGTTAGAAGTTTGAAAGCTTTCAATCATGTCTTCAGTACTTGTGCCTGAAATTCCTGCTCCTGGATTTTCTTTTGATCTTTGTCAGAGGTATATTTATTATTAGAACGTTATATTACTCATAATAATTTCATTCCAGTAATATAAGTAATTTTAAAAATACGAAAGAATATTTCACAACATATAACCTATTATGGGTTAATATTGCTGTGTCACTTTTTATCAGTATCAATTTTTTTAATCAAAATTGCTTATGATTTGTATAAAATATATTAAAACAACTATATATTTCATTTCGGTATATGGTTTTTCAGAAATAATTTTCTAGTAAAGAAAGGACTTCAAATACCTAAAGCTGTTAAAACAGGAACAACAATTGCTGGAGTTGTTTACAAAGATGGAGTTGTTCTTGGTGGTGATACAAGATCAACAGAAAATACCATAGTTGCTGACAAAAATTGTAGCAAGATTCATTATCTTGCTCAAAATATATAGTAAATATCATTAAAATGAATGATTTATTTAAAATTGTTTTGATATTAGACATTGTAAAATAATTTTTTTAAAGTTGTTGTGGTGCTGGAACTGGTGCTGATACTGAAATGACAACTCAAATGATATGCAGTCAATTGGAGTTACATCGCTTAAATAATAACCGTATGGTACCTGTTTGTACTGCAAATGCAATGATAAAGCAGTTATTATTTCGTTATCAAGGCAACATTGGAGCAGCTTTAATATTAGGAGGGGTTGATTTAGATGGGCCACATTTATATTGCATTTATCCTCATGGATCTTCAGATAAGCATATGTATACCACCATGGGTTCAGGTTCATTAGCTGCAATGGCTGTATTTGAAAGTAGATGGAAGCCTAATATGACAGTAAGAATGTTTTACATTTTTATATATTCAATTATCTTTATATTATACAAATGTTATACTCATTTTTGGGTTTTAAATGTATTTAGGAGGAGGAGGCTAAGGCATTAGTAGCAGATGCTATTCGTGCTGGTGTTTTCAATGATTTGGCTTCTGGTTCTAATGTCGATTTATGTGTTATACGTAAGGGTACTGTCGATTATTTACGTCCATATGATATTGCTAATGTTAAAGGACAGCGCAATATATCTTACCGATACAAACATGGTACCACTGCTATACTTAGCAAAACGGTATATCCTATAATCATTGAAGGGGAAACTGTTCGTAGAATTGAAGCAGAAGCAATGGATACGTCATCTTAAAATATACATTAAACAGTTTTAAATTTACATTTGGATATATGTAAATTTATAAAACCTAACATTTGAATTTATGAAGATTTACGTTTTCTTAATTAATAAAATTAATTCCACATATTAAAATACAAAGAATATGTTTTTATTTTTTGATTATACCGTAATGACTATGGTACAAAAGTATTATTAAAGAACAAAATCTTAAAAAAGTCCAGCTGATTGTTTGAGTCTTTGTCTTTTCCAAGCAGGGAGTTTCACAAACTCGGCAGGTTCCATTTTAAAAATTGCAATGAAATTATCAAAAGTAAGATGCATCTCTTTATGCACAACATCAACGCCAGATGGTAAATTTTCTGGATCATCTTTCAGAATAGAAAGTGGATACTTCACATAATTATCAAAATTGCTGGATGACTTTAATAACGTTTGTATTTTCGGGAATGATTCCTTGTTTTGCAAGAGCGTGCAAAACGTTTCAAATGATTTATATTCTCTTAGTAAATTGTAGTTCCAATTATCGAAAAGTCCAATAAATGTTGACGGTTCCATTCCTAAAAAAAGTGATGTATAAATTTTTCTTATCATAAGATCTTATGTAAATAAACAGTTTATTATACCTTGTTTAATTACAGAAATTGTTGTATTTCGATCTCGACCAGCTGGATGAGTATACAGAAATATCATTGCGTCATGTACACATTCTTTTAATGATTTAGAAGTAGAAGACTTTCCAATCCAGACCCATATCACGTTGCCAGCATCTAATAACCAAATAGCTTCTGGAAGAAGACTATTTTGTCCAAATCCAAGAACTTCTTTGCCAACAAACATTTCTCCTTCGGTCAAACATTGATATAGATGTTTTTCAAGTTCTTCTCCATCATCAACAGTTTCTGTGCCATAGGTGCCTTTACCTTAACATAAAATTTGCAGAGTAAATTGACGAATTAAGTTCAGGATTCTTTGAAAAAATAAAAAATTATATTATTTTCTTTCAACAAAAAAGAAAATTTTATCACCTCCAAGTTCTGCCCAAAAATCGTCATCTTCGTTATTTTCGATCATCAGAGGTGCATTTCTAGGTGCAAGTCGTCTGGATGCCTGCCTAGCGTCTCCAGTACTTCTGCCACCACACCATACTATAGGTAAATTAGAAAACAAGATAAAAACTGCACTAGAATCGAGGCTACTGGACCTCAAAGGACGCTCAACAGCTTTTGATGTGTATGGGGTAGATCCAAAAACTCTAACGAGATACTTATCCGGAGCTGTAAAGTGATAATTCCATTAGTAAAAATTCAATCAAAGTGAAAAGATATATTATTTGTTTCACTGCTTACGGGAATCACGATGCCTTCCTGCTAGTATTTTTAATTTTCCATCATAAATTTGCAACAGATGAGGTGGTTCTCTACCTTGATATGCTTTTATTAACTGTGCAGAGGTATCTTCTGATAAGCGACAAGCTGCTTCTAAAGAAGCTTCTCGGTCCGTGTTTATAGAATGAACTCCTTCCCAACAATAAATCTGAAACATATTACATTGTTTCAAATTTAGTAATTGTACAATTTAATTTTTTAAATTACATTTTCCTGTGTACACGTACGATTGTTCTACTCCTACGTCCTTGTCCGTACTTGTAGCACATTACATAACAGGCTTCCGCGTAGTATATTCCTTTGTCTTCTACCTGAATCATTCCTTCCTTATGGATTATCCTCCAAAGAGTTCTCTCACCGGATCCATCGTCTACTAGTTGGCACTCAGCAGCTATTTTAGGTCTCTCGTTCATGTAATCAGGTTCAAAATTAGGTGGTAAAGTAAGTGGTCTCATTTTCGCTGTTTCCCATCCTCTGACGAGGGCCTTCATCTCCGTTGGTTCATAAGCTTCGAGCGCCCTTTCTACAGATACGCCGTTACTGTAATTCTTTTTCTTTACGAATCCGCGCGCATTGCGGATCGCTTCTAATTTTTCCCGGGCATTCACATTGCGTCCTACCCAGGCCCAGACACCCGCCTCACCGCGATCAATCAGGTAAACTGATTCTGATGTAAGATCTGATCGGAGAATTGGTCCAGACTTTAGTTCTGCAACTTTGTATTTACCAGATTGTTCACTGCATCTATACAACTTCACTGGACTTGGCACATTGACACGGTAAGGGCGATCGGGCTTCACCAGCCTCGTAGAAGGATTTAAGATACTGGCGAACAGTTGTCTATCACCTTCCGGTAGTGTTTGTTCATATCCGTCGTCGACAATGATGACACGACCATTGTTGTTTTCTTTCCTAGTTTCTAGAATATTGACAGCATGTTGTTTGTGCAATGGAT